AATGTAAGATATGCACAAATATATATGGAAGAATGACAGTGTTTTTTGAAGACTGTTATGAAAGAAATTAAAAACTACCTACATATAAATGAAGAAACAAAGAGGTAAGCCTTCCAGGAAAAGGAGGGAGGTAAAGTGGTAATTAGGGAAGAAAGAAAACAAGCCAACGGCCGCCCCCTCACCGCACAGAACCAGTGCTGAGAACCAGTGCTGGGACAAGGTCACTTTCTGACAACAAAATGACTAAACATCCACCTCTCCTGTCTTTCTCTAAGTGGCTGGTGCTTCTTTACCAATGACAACCTGTCCCTGCATCAATCCTCCTGCCTCAAAGAAAAAATGAACCACCACAGGCCCCAGCTTTTTGAGAGCAGCCCACCCAGGACAGACCCCTCACTTCGTTACTCTCTCTTGGAATCACGGAGCAGAGCACATGTCCCCAACCTCGCATCTTCCCATGATGTTCCTGAGGCTCCTCTGAATAAACTCAACTTGTTTTATTGCAAGTATGTTCCTCCTTGTGGTCAGAGGGCAAGAACTGTTTGAATGCGGTACTATTTTTTGTTTCACTATTTTTCTTTTATAAGTATTATCTGTTTCACGGTAAAACATATACTTAAAAAAGACCCCGTAATAACAATAACAACAAAGACCAAATTCTTAGGAAAAAGCATGGTAAAAAATAAGTTTATATGAAAAAAAATAAGCAAACACAAACAGCCAAGAAAACTCGGAAAAAGAAAACTGATAAACATACTTTAACCCTATCAGACACTAAAAAATAATGAAAACCATATACACTGGTGCATTAATAGAAGGACCAATTAAAAAGAACAAAAATTTAAAAAAATCACAGAATAACCCCTCACATTGTACCTAAGAAAATTCACAACTAATAAAAGTGGCATCTCCAGTCCACTGGGAAAAGACAAATCTAACGGTCAATTTTATGTGTCAACTTGGAGTGTCTGGGGATGAAATGAACACCTGAATCACTGGCCTGGTATAAAGCAGACTGGTCTCCACAGCACGGTTCACCCCCTCCAGTGAACGGAAGGTCTGAAAAGAACAAAACAACCGGCCCTGGAAGCAAGAGGGACCGACTCTCCAGCAACTGCCTTCAGCGTCCCGTCCACTGCGGCCCCCGCGCCCTCCAGCCCGCCAGCCTTCGGGCCAGGACTGGGGCGCCGGCTCAGCGGGGTCTCCAGCGTGCTGGCCCTCACTGTGCATTCCAGACTTGCCAGCCGCAGGAACTACGTGAGACAGTGCCTTAAAATGAACCTCTTTATCCTAACCAATCAGACATGTATCCATGTACACATCCGATTGTTCCTGCTTCTCTGGAGAGCCCCCAAAAAAAGGGCCTACACAAGGAAAAGTGCCTAAACAAGCAAGCAGCCATCTAGAAAAAGACAATGAAGTTGGATCATACCTCTCTCCCCAGATCAGGATAAGTGACATGTAAAACATGATTCTATGAAACTACTATAAAATAACATGGAAGAGCTCCTTTGTAATTCTGAAGTATAGATGTCCCACTAAACATAAAATCCAAAGATCATAAAAGAATGATAATTGACTACAAAAATTTTTTAACTTAAAAGCCCCTCTGTATGACTCCCTCAAAAAAAGGGTCCCATAATTAATGTCAAAAGAAAAATGGTAACATGAGGAATGGTGGTTAATAACTCAAGTCACAAAGGTCCATGCTCTCTAATATAAATCAATTTTTTAGAATACCCACAACAACATGGGAAATTTTAAGATCAAAAAACATATATGGGTTAAAGTCCAGAAAAAAGGAAATGCAAATACTTTTAAATATAAGATGCTCAACCATCAATCACAAGATAAATGAACATTAAAAGTACATTATCAGATTGGCAAAAATCCAGAAGCTTCATGAAACCATGCCTTTGGCACATGTGTAGGGAACAAGGACTCTCACACATCGATGGCGGAGTATAAATCGGTGCAGCCCCTCAGAGGAACAACCTGGCAACAGTCACCAGCATGGGAACTGCAGTGTCACTTCCAGGAATTTATCCTACAGATAGACTTGCACATTTATGAACTAACACATATTCAAAGTTTATCACGGCAATATTGTTTAAACTGCAAATAACTAAAAATAATCTAAATGCCCACTAAAGGAGAACTGGTTAAATTATGCTATGTTCGTAAAATAGAGTAAAGCTATATGAAGGGCTGCTTTATGTATTCCTTTATAAAGATCTACAGGAATACACAGAGCAGTGTTTAAGTGAATGGGGGAGGGGGTTACAAAGAACAGAAGAGTTCAAACAGTATGTTAATAGTGTGCCACCCCACGTATAAAAGTGGGGTAAATATTATAATACGGTGTTTTGCTTCTTTGAATAAAGACACTCTGGAAAGGCGTGCAACAAACTAATAAAGTGGTTCTCTGATAGAGGAGGGAGTGGGTGGCGAATTAGGCAAAAAGAGCCGGGGTGGGAGATTTTTATCTGTATCCTTTCCTTGTCCTTTTTAAGTTTCGAAACATATGAATGTATTGATTATTCAAAACACTACACATTAAAAACTGGTAAAGACACAACGTGAGGACGCTTTTCTTTTAACTCGTTACTGTAGCTTTTGTTACCACTTACCCCCCTTCTACAATCCCCACCACCGCCCTGCTGTCCACGCCCATGGGTCCTTTTTCCTTTTCGCTCCCCCCCTCCCCCCGCCCCCCCCATAGCTGAAAGTGAGGAATCTCGATGGAACCCTAAAAGTACCTTCTGTATATATCACATTGACAGGGCACACAAAGTATTATTTGCTGACTGATTCCTTAATATAAAGTCTATGCATCTAGAAACAAAAGGGAAGTCTACAGAAAGAAATGTTTTGTCTGTTATGAAAAAATTGGCTTATTACATTAAACATCGTAGAGCTTCTCTGGTTTCTAAATGTATGTGAATTCAGTATTATAAATTCTTAAAATTCAGCTTGATTTTGAAAATACTCTATTGGTTATTTTTTAATTTTCTTTTGGGATATATTTGGGGAAATTGTTCTTGGAGGTGCTAAGTATATCTAAAATACAAGGTCTCATTTCCTAGAGAAACTTCCTAAATCCATCTGAACACCAAACTCCCTAAAAAAAACACACTCTCCCTGTCAAACAAGACCCTCCAGTTAGGCCATCTGCATGTCTCCAGCCTCCACTGCTCGTCCCGTATGATTTTAATGAAGCTTAAAAATATATTAGGCATTCTATTGCGAGGGCGTATGAAAACAAGAAAATATTTCCGAAGTACTCTGAGGAATGTTTGATTTTTTTTTAGAATAAACAAAAATGAAAATATTTATGTTAAAAAGTCATGGTTATATAGTACTTCCTATATAACAATAGTTATCAATCAAAGCATAAAACAGACCTAAACTAAGCCCATTAAAACACTATTCATTAAAATAAGACTTTACCTGTAATCTGCGTTAAATATTTAACTGTGAAGGATATTAAATAACTAATTGCCATGTGGCAGAAGTCATCAGTGACTGCGTCAGAAAGGAAGTAAATTTTGAGCTTGGTCTTGAAGGAAATGACAGGCACTCAGAATCCTTAATCAAAGTGGCTTTACAAGCAGAGATCCATTTTCGAGCACGGAAGGAAAGTGAGCAATGCAATCTCTCTGCTGAGTCCTCCCTAAATGCTGACAACATGACAAAACACTCTGTGCCCATGGGGTCCACAGAGGCCCTGAAAGCCCTCGAAAAGCCCTCACGTTGCAGCTCACAAACCCAGATGCCAGTCTCTTCCTTAGAAAGAAATGAGAAAGGCTTTTATTATCCCACATTTTATGAAAAGACCAGAACAAGTAACTTGAAAATAATGTACATTCCTACCTCTATAAATCCCTTTATGTAATAACAAAATTTTGAAAACATGCATGCAAAAGACAGGACTTAACGTGTATCACATGTTTTGTTTAAAGTCATAAGCTCCTTTACAAACTCTTACATAAAGGCAACATGGGAAGACTCCATTGAACCCAAGATAATATTTAAGAAATCAGCTGTCAAATTGATTAAAATTAAGCTTTATATCTTTATATATGTTGCTTAGCCTCAACAATCTCTTCAGCATGTGTAAAAAGCACTATAAAACATGAAAAGTCAATGTCTCTTCTCATCTCTTCACCAGCCCTACCCCACAAAACAGGAAAAAATGGGGAAAAAACCATAAAAAGGAAAGTTACATTATGATGCTAATGACTGGAAGTGTACGAAAGTTTCACTTGGATTCAAAGTTAGAGTCCCTAGCTCATGATGCTTTAGTATCACTCAGTGCCAGTCTCTGCAACAGGATGAAATTGAATAATTTTACCAAATGCATATATACTATTTTTCTACAAATCATGTAAGCTGAAATATATAGCCCAATAACCTTCAAGAGTATTTAATGAGGCTAATTTAAACTAGGAGCTGCTTAATATACTTAAAGAACATGGTTCCCTTTAGTACTGTAATATATTGTAATTGAAGCGATTATGTTTATAAGCTAGTTTAAGGAGAATAACACTGCCAAAGGCAACAATGTTTTGATATAGTAGTGCTTGCCATTAAAACAAACAAAAAAAAATTCAAGATAAAAATACCAGGAATATGCCAACTAGCAAGGGTGAATGATCGATAAAATCATTTTCCTGAATAAGCCTCAGAGTGACCGAGCACCTCCCTGAAAGAGCCAGAACACAAATGACACAGAACATGAAAAGACCGGCATTTTCTGCTCTCACCACCCAGTAACGTAGGGAGCAAATGAGCATTCTTCCGACCCTTCGATCTCAAACACCCATCCATAAACAAACAGTTTAGATTATAGTTCTGCCTTTTCAGAAAACTACATTTTTTCCCCCACTAAGAAGAGAGTTTTGAAAAGGGGGCAGGACGATGTCTCAGAGCCCAGTCTGGCCTCCAAACACAGAGCTCGAGGGCAGAACCGAGGCCTGGCGAGCAGTCGCCGAGCTCACCTGCTGCGGCTGGTACCTCTGCTGGGACTGGGACGGCAGATACTGAGCCTGCGGGGGCAGGTGCGGAGGCTGCGGCTGCTGGTTGTAATAAGGCTGCTGGCCCTGCTGGCAGTAACCGCTCACACCTTGTTGTCCATACTGTGGTGGCATCTGTCAGAAAGTCAGGCAAAGAGAGTGAGAAAGTCAGAAAGTACACTTCAGTGAAATCAAATACAGTTTCAGTTTGGCAACATGAAGTGGATTCTCTGCTAAGCAACTGCATTCAATATTTTTAAGTCTTCCCCTTACATAGGTCAGCATCCTGCCTTATAGTCACATATTGTACTATCAATGAAGTCAAAAAATTGGCTATAAAAAATATTTTTATCAAATAGAAAATATTGATAATTCATGAAAATCCAGTCAGGGGGGAGTTCTTAATACATTAAAAAATAGCCTCTCCTAAGAAAGTCAAAGAAGCATTATGTTAATCCATTCTCATGCAACACACAAGGTGAAAATGAACTCCAACAGTCCAAAGTTTCACTAACTCATATTTTGTAGAATGCTTGTGGCTTGGGTGCATGTATAGAGTGCATGTTGGTTTCAGCTGAAGCCACAACTTCCCAGTTACATTTGCAGCACATACAGTATAGTTACATTAGCAATTGCATTGACTATTCTGCTAAAAAGAAATTACATTGCTTTACAACAATACTATGAATATCAAATATTACAACCATCAATATGAGTTTTTCAAGGAAAGATATTCCTATCTAATGCAAGGAGCATTTTCCTAGTTGATAAAAGAAGCAATGATGTCAAGTAGAGTGCAACGCACTGAAAAAACTGGAGAGACACACACACCAAAATATGGCTTTAAATGTGTCTTCTCCATCTCTAATTTACATGAGCCTAAAAATTCTTGAAATCATTAATCAAAAAAACTCTTCCTCATACAATAAATACACTGTTGATTTTTTTAAATGTTTTTTTTTTTTAAATGAGGAATCTACCGACTTATTTTTCTGATTAGAAAAGAGAGGAGAGGAAAAGAAAAAAGATATCAAAAAGCACTCTACAGACGAGAATGGTGAAGTCACGGTTAATACCGCAACATGGTCCACTGGAGAACTCCAAGAACCTGAGCCTCATAAGCCCACACACTGACGAGTTCACTGATCAGTTCCAGATAACACACTTATGAAACAAATCCACTATAGAATATTGAGTGACAAAAAAGGGGGAACGGTAAAAGGAGAAAAATATTAAATACTTTGCCTCTAAGATCAATTAGCACTATAATTCATGACACATACAATGAAGTAAAGGGGAAAAAATGCAAAAAGTTAAAGTTCGTGTATTTTTTTAGCCGACGCAGATGATTTCCAAGACCTGGCAGCACTGATCGCAAAACACGTGGCCACAGGGGCTCCCGAACGCCTCTCATCACACAGACCCTACGTTAGATGAGCAGACGAGTTTGTATTGAAAACCATTTAACAGCACAGTTGAAGTCTTTGCTTTTATTTATTTTACAGCTTGATATCTCATAATGAATGTATGTCCCTGCCATAAGCCAAGCCAAAGAATTTCCATAAAATACAACTCCACATGCTAAAATACCATATACTACCCACAACACATACCCTTCCGTTCAACACCCATATGTTTGATTTGATATCTAATACTATATTTCACACAAGCATCTTTGCAGTTTGATTTGAAGCAGTTAGGATAACACTTTTTCCCGGTGTTAAAATGACTGTAAAGCTCAGTCAACACAGCCAGCAAACTCCCCTCTGAATTGCACTTTAATATGTTGACTTTCTGGTTTACAGAAACCTTACACACAATATGGAAGTGCTGTTTGGGGTGGGGGGTTCCATTTTCTACGTGAAACAACAACAGGGCATGTTACAGGAAGGCGTCTATGAACACGAGAGCAGCAACAACGTATTAGAATCTTTATCTATTTCAGCTCTAAAAGGCTCTCGGGCAGGTTGGGGTCCCGGGGAGGCAGCCTGAGAGGCAGGCACTGTGGGTGAGAGAATAAGCAAATCTTTAGTGGAGCCATAGCAACAATCTGTACAACACAGGAGAGGGGAAGCCCTCACAAACATCTGCTTGGGAGATTTCATGACTGTCTTCCACAATTAAAAGCCTATTTGCTCCCCTTTTAGATACACGGCCTAATTCCTTCGGCACTAACCTATCTGGCCCCTCACCCTCTCTGAGGTAACTGAGATCACGCGTGGGCTATCAGCCAGGCCTGGGGCCAAGCATCGAGGCCACCGCCCTTACGTGGGCGCCACAGAGCAGAGCAACGATTACTAACCCTGGTTCAGCTGAAGGGTCTCTGGGCTACACGTGTAGAAAATCTAAATCCAAGTCCGACGGTACCTCAGCTCTGGAAATATGGACAATCAGTAGAGTATCTGTCCTACCTCTCCATCTGTAAAATGGGGCTACCTTCTCTATTAATTCATATTAATATTATAACCAGCAATATAATAACCTAGCTTGGAATTCTACACGGATGCTACAATGACTTCTTAAACTACAAGTTGTAGTGTTAGCTCTAAAGTATGGATTATTTCCTAAGTCTTACCTTTAAAGAGCAATTTCTAAATAAAATATACCTCAGTGGTCTGGAACTAAAGTCTAATTCTTTAATGATCAATTCTGTTTTTGTTTTAATCAATTTAGGTGCAGGGCTTTCAAAGAAATACTATGCACTCTTCCAACATCTTCAACCACATAATCATTATAAAACACAAAACAACAGGCTAAAAGCCATACCACGCTGGCCCCCGAGCCTGTGCCGCCAGCTGCCCGCGCCACACCAGAGCAGGACTCTGGTCCCACACTGTGCTGTCTTCTCACATGCCATCAGGGCATTCAGTCATTGCTTGTCACCCTGAACTCGATCCCTAATGCAATCTGCTGAGGGCTGAGAAACACGCTACACTGTTAAAACAATTAAGGATCAGTCCATGAAGGAAGCACGAGAGATTTTATTGTTTTGTGAAATCGATTTTGGCTACTGAGAGTCTTTTTCTTTCTCTCTTAACTCTTGACCACAGTAAGGGTCAAGATTACCAGACTGTTGAAGTCAAGTGAAATTTAACCAGGAATTGCTGGGTACCAGGAACCGCATGCTGAGAGGTGCAAGCACAAAGCCTCTCTGGCTCCGATGCCACCCCTTCCCTGAGCAGCCCAACCCTAGCCTCTGCCATCTGCATGCCAGCCTCCGATTCCATTTTACCACAGGGCAGATGATCTGACTTAGGTCATATGTTTATGTCTGTCCTTGTCACTGGGGTATAAGCTCCCACACGCACGGCGGGCTTCCTGGAAGAGGGCCTGCCACACAGTCAGTGTGTTGAATGAATGAATGACCTATGGATTAAACTGAACTGTCATAAAAAATTTTAAAGTCATGAAAAAACACATTATAAACTTGACATCACTTGTACCATCTAAATCTCTGATACACATATGTTCAGCCTTAGCCCACAGCCGAAAACACTGGACCTCATGCTCAGGCAGCAGAGGACCCTTGGCTGCTCACCGCTAACCCTCCAAGTCATCGCTGGGCGACGCCCTGGGTTTCAGCACGGTTTAAATAAAAAGAATCTCTCTAACCTAAACCAAATGGAAATCTGTAGAAAATTCCTAGGATAAGAGCTTTTGTTTTTTATTTAAAAACAAGAAAAAGAATTTATTTCACTCATTTCTAAATGAGCAGGATCTTGAAGTGGAACATGAGCACACATAATAGCAAAAAATTTATTCCAATTTTCAAAGTAATGTGAATGCTTTCAACATTATTGGAGAGGAAAAGTATAGCTAAAAACAATTCATTTGCTTTAATATTTATTTTAGGAAACGATTTTGAGGAAGGATTTGAGTATGAACTTCCACGTCCCTGTATCACATTAGATGTGCGGAGTTCCAGGCTCCATTTTTCATTTCACCTCACCCTGAACTTTATGTTCATACTTCAAAACTGAAGAAATGATCAAGGTTTATCTTCCCTTTTTTATCTCTAAAAAATTTTTAGAAAGTAGTTCACCCACAAAGTTTAAAAGCGCACTGACTTACGGCCCAGCAATTTCTCTTGTAAATAAATTCATGCCAAAGAAACACTCCCTGTGTCCCAGGAAGGATACTCGATGTAATACAGCTTACAAAAGCCAGAAAACAGACGCAATCAAAGCCTAACGCAGCAGGTTAATGGAAAAACAGATTTTGCTATAGTTACACAATAGAATTCTATACAGTATTCAAAAATAGTGAAGTGGTAAGAAAGAACCACATATCAAAACAGTTCAAATCTAAAAATTATAATTCTGAATTTAAAGAGCAAGCAACAAAAGGTTAATGCAATGTGATACCGTTTGTATAAATTTTTAATACACAATAGTAGTATATATTGTTTATGAATGCACATATATAGTAAAAATACAAAAATATGCACTGAAAAGAAAATATATGATACTCTCTAGGGAGGGGAGAGGGGAAGAGACAGGGTGGACCTTCAGACTTGCATTTTTTTCCCTTTAAAAAAGAGATGAAGCAAATATAGCAAAATGTTAAGAACACCCATAATCTTGCTGCAGTTACACAAGTGTCTACCATATTTGTTGCTGTACTTTCCTGTATGCCTAAGTTATTTTGTAGTTTAAACTAAAGATGTCGCCTCCACCACATCCCAGGTTCCAGCACCAGCAGCCAAAGGCAGCCGCAGGAGATGCTGCAGCACCCCGGGAAGCAGGTCCGGGAAGGCAGGGGGCCGAGGGAAGGCAGGGGGAGGCCTGCCGGTCCGCGGGCTGCATTTTGTAAAGAGGCCCAGCTAGGGCTGTGCTCCAGGACCACGTTCCACCCTAGGCCCACCCAGTGCCCCAAGGTGCTCCAGGCCTGTCACCTGGGGCGGGGCTGAGCCAAAGGCTTCACTAGGGTTTTTAAAATTTCCTGTAGACCAGCAGGTCTCACAGGAAGGACTTTATGCCCACATTTCTCTATGCTCCTACAGGAAACGCTAATCAAACCAAGTTAACTCAGAAACAAGTTCTATAGTCAAAAATGTTTTAGAAATACATGTATTATAGAAATAAAACATAACATTAATTAGTGTATTAAAGGCTCTGTGAAATCCTTAAGAAGCT